CCTACGTGTCAGTGAGTTTGCAGTCACCGCCATTTCCCCAAAGCTTCCCAGTGATGTCCCCCAAGCTGAACCTGCACTTTTGGGGATGGTTCTGTGTTATCCATTCCACTCTAGGGTCTCAGAAGAGCCAGCACCCAGACCTACACGCCCAGTGCCTCTTTAGGAATGAGGTTTTGCTCTCTGTTTTGCTTATGGACACAGGGAGTTGACCCTTCAACTGGGAAACCGAGGTGTGTTGAGGGAAGCCTTTTCCTTGCCAGTCGCTTTGGTTTTTTTCCCCACCAGTCGCCTGGGCTCTGCCAAGTTGTAGTCCCCAAATAACACACAAGACGCTGTATTAATTATGAAGCTGTTGGCCTTGCTTGTTTTTTACTGGCTGTCTCTGGCTTAAGTAATTACCCCATAACTGCCAATCTAAGTATTCCTCTTACTGGAGAAAAGGGTCCGGGTTTCTTACCCCTGCCGCAGCTACATCGTGACTCTCTGTGTTTCTCCTACCCAGAGTCCTCCTCGACTCCTAGTCCCACCTATCTTGCTTCCCTATTGGCCAACAGTGCTTTATTGACATATACACAGGACGTCCCCACCAGAGGTGAGATAGATTGCACAGAGGCAGATGAATGACAGCCATAGTCTCTGAATTCCATAGTCTTGAGCCTTGAAAGGTAGCACTCTGAATTCCATAATCTTCAGCCTTGAAAGGTAGCATTCCTATTTCCTTTTCACTGGGCAGATTAATCCTTCTATCTGGAAGTAAAAAATTCAAAGAAAGCAGAATTCCACCTGAACAAGTCATGTGCCCAGAACTTCAGTCAGTGTGTCCTGGATAGTCTCTTCTCCCCTGGCTCAGTAGGAGCACACATCAGTGAGTAGAACAGCAAGGTCTTTTCCCACTGGTGTGGGCTGACATTATCGATGACCTCATTTTAAAGGCCAGACAGCTTCCCCATCTGAGTTAAGGCCCCAAACATAGGACTAGGGCTGAACAAACATTTGGTTTGAGTTTTGCATAACTTTTATTGTACACTGTCAACTGTTACAGAGCGTTTGTGACTCAGTTAGATCCTTTTACCACATAAATGTAGCGACTGCTCTTTTAGTTACATAAAAGACCTCAGACAGCTGGCAGAAACAGTTTATTTAACTATTTGCTCACAAGAAGACAGACATGCTTTCTCCCTCACTGAAAGAGCTCTGCAAGCGTTGTTATAGGCCAGTTTGAGTAAGAAAACGCATTGTTCTGAGAGAAATTTAACTGCATTGTAGTTTCCAAGTGTTTAATACTTTAAAGTGGAAGTTCTAAAATTTAATTGATAATTTTATTATTACTCTTTGGATGTAATTAACTAGGGATGCACTTTAAACTGCTATATTCTGGTTATTGAAATGGGTTTTATGGTTTACAATGGGGGAAAAAAAAACCTGTCAGACTATGGGCCTCTCCCTTGGTGCACATTATTATGGTCTCCTTAGAGACCAGCAAGCAATTTTGCTGTCACTGGTCTTGTTCAAATAGAGCATGTTTGTATTTGCAATGCTCTTGGGAAAGGGTGTCTGGAAAGGATCACCAGTTAGCAGCTGACATAGTTCTTGCACACACATTGGAAAAGCTCCTCAAATAGCAGACGAACACGTGTATATTTCATTTTTTTAATGTGGCTGATAAAATGTTATATCATTAAGTCAAAAGAACATATCTGTCCCATCTAGGTTGACTTTAGGAGGGTAGTTCTTACTTTCAATACAAATGAGGGCCTGTGGCTCAACAGAAAAAAAAATGCTCTGCAGAAGCCAGCTTAGCTCTGGACTCGAGAGGAAGCAGGTCTGAAAGCACCAAATGGCAGCATTTGTAGGGGCTGTCGGCCCACTCACGGTCAGCCGTCAGATGCTTTACCAAGAAGGCTACAGAGAATACCCAAACCCGCGTGCTGTCCAGTTTAAGACGTATATTGTTTTATTTCAAATACTCAGTTCCCATAGAACTGCTTTATCAGACCACGACGTCCGCTCATTCATTTTTTTTCCCCACAAATGAACACTTAGCAACAAGAAATACGCAGTGGGTGTCACTCTGGGTTTGTGTAAGAGGTGTAAAACACAGGAAGTGCTTGTTCCCTAGGCGGATTTATCCAGTGGGGACGTCGAGTGGAGAGGAAGACAGCGTGCTCCTTACACCGAGACTGAGAGAGCCTGGGTTTTATACTCACTGTGTTGTGCCCATCACTTCCACTCAGCAGCCGAGATGCCACCTGGTACACAAAAAAACCTACTGGATAACTGAATTAGGGGTGTAACCCTATTACAAATGAGTATAGTAGGCTGTCATGGCTAGTTTTTAGGTCAACTTGACACAGGCTAGAGTTGTCCGAGAGGAGATGGTGCTCACAATGGGCTGGGCCCTCCCACATCAATCACTAATTAAGAAAATGCCCTGTAAGTCCTGGGTTCTACAAGGAAAGCAGGCTGAGGCTGAGCAAGCCATAGGAGCAAGGCAGTAAGCAGCACCCCTCCATGGCCTCTGCATCAGCTCCTGACTCCAGGAGTCCTGCCCTGTTTGAGCGCCTGTCCTGACTCCCCTCAGAAGACCCTGGTTCAGGATACAAACGCGAAATTAACCCCTTCTTCCCCAAGTTGTTTTGCTTTGTTTTTTTTGTCATGGTGCTTCATCAGCAAACGCAGCCCCAACTAAAGCAATGGTTAAACCGTGCTGTGTTGTCCCTGGGACAGCAAGCATATGGGAACAGATCTAAAACAGCAGATTACGTTTTGCATCTCGAGGGAAGGGTTTTAAGAAGTCGCAGTTGATTCCGGAGGAACTTAAGAGCCTCTGAACTCTGCAGCTGGAGCACTGGTTCAGCGTCCACGGTACAGGAAGGGAAAGAACAGCGCTTAGTGGCGGACTGCATCGTAGGCAGTGACACCTGGACTTGGGTCTGCAAGGACGCAGAGTATAAAATCCCTTCAGCCACACTGCACAGCAATTGCCTTCACCAAGAATGAACAAACTTAGTCGGTAGACAGGTGCCTCTGCTGCTCTTAAAAAAAACACCACGTTTTCTTTTCAGGTGTGCGTGTGAGCGTCTGCATGCACACACATATGCACGTTCAGCCTGCGCTTCGCACTTGCAGAAGACAAGAAAGGGTGTTGGGTGCCTGGAACTGGAGCTTTACAGATGGTTGTGGGATGCCAGTGGGCGCTTCGAGCTGACCCTCACCCTCTGGCAGGGCACCCGGCGCACGTAGCTGTTGAGCCGTCATTCCAGACTCGCTTCATCTTCTTTTTCCTTTTTTTTTTTTTATTATTGCCGTGTTCAGTTCCTTTCTCCACGGGCATTTTACATGCAACTATTTAAAGTGCTGGCTGAACATGGATCACACCTTAGGTTACTAAACAAACATGTCTGTGTGTTATTTATTTATTTTCTTTATTTTATTTTATTTTATTTTTTTTGGTTTTTCGAGACAGGGTTTCTCTGTGGCTTTGGAGGCTGTCCTGGAACTCACTCTGTAGACCAGGCTGGCCTCGAACTCACAGAGATCCACCTGCCTCTGCCTCCCAAGTGCTGGGATTAAAGGCGTGCGCCACCAATGCCCGGCTTATTTATTTATTTTCTTAATAGCTAACCATAAGTTAGAAAAGGCTAGGAGAAATGAGATTGAGTGTTGAGGTGGAAAAGAACTGAGGCCTTGGTGTTCTCATCCCCAAGGTGTGAACGGTCAGATCTTCATCAGAGTGTAAGGACTACAGAGAAAATAGAATGCAGGTAACAAAAGAAAATCTAGATACGCAGCTTGAGATAATAGGTCAGTCATTTAACTGGACACATGGAAGAGGGTGGGGGGTCGTGTTGATGACTTTCGAATTGGCTGAGAGCTCTCCAGGGCTGATGTTCTGTCTTGACTTTACTAACAGATCTCGCTGGGCGATCCAGGGCCTTACGTGGCTAGCACGCTCTCATCCGTGAGAGACACCCCTCCACCTCCCGGCGTTCACACTCTGAGGTGACTTCACAGAGAACAGCGAGGAAGCATCGCGGTTACCAAACGCTTTCTCCTAAAGCTTGCTGCTTACTGGCTCTACCAGACCCTTTGGATGGTACAGTTGGAGAGTCTGATGACAGAAGCCTATGAGCAAGTTTAAAACAGCAACCGCACAAATGCACACGCTGTCCTCAGCAGGATGGGCCCACGCTGTCCTCCGCAGGATGGGCGAGCATCACCCGGTCCACTGAGGAACTGGATAAAACAAAAAGGCAGAACCAGGGTGAATTCAGTCTTTTGCAGTCAAAATGTCTGGGTTTTTTTTCCTCTGCCCTCACACATTTGCACTTTTGATTTTGGGAGGCTTCCAGACTCAAATCAGGACTTATAACACCATTGGCTTCCCTGTTTCCCAAGCCTGCGTACTTGGACTTCAGTCTTCAAACTGAATGACTGAGGTATACTACTGTACTGGTTTTCAGATGTTTCTGTCTTTCATATAGGAGCCCAGACTATAATCTCATGAACCAGTTTCAATTATTCTCTCTCTCTGTCTCTCTCTGTCTCTCTCTCTCTGTCTCTGTCTCTGTCTCTCTCTCTCTCTCTCTCTCTCACACACACACACACACACACACACACACACACACGATGCAAATAGGATCTTTTTTTTTTCGTATTTACGAGACAGGATTTCTCTGTATTGTTTTGGAGGCTGTCGTTCCAGCCTGGCCTAGAACTCACAGAGATCCGCCTGCCTCTGCCTCCCGAGTGCTGGGATTGAAGGCGTGTGCCACCACTGCCTGGCCGCAAGTAGGATCTTAACGTCCAGTGTTTTTCTCAGTTGCTGTCTATTCTTTTTGTTTTTTCTTTGTTTTTGTATCAAGGTCCCTGACTGACCCTGGAATTTACCCTATTCAGCTATGCTGGTTGGCCAGCAATCTCCAGGTAACCTGCCATCTCTACCTCCCCAGCACTGGAATTTACAGGTACGCATCTCTACACCTGGCTTTTTATGTCTGTGCTGGGGATCTGAACTCAGGCTTCCATGTTTGTGTGGAGAACGCTTTATTGACCCAGCCGTCTCTCCAGCCCTGGAGTCTATTTAGGAGGCGAATGGTGAAGATGGCGTCTCCGCCAGTTGCCTTGAAACGCAAAGCCAGACAATTGGCTCTGATTAGTTCCTAGTTCCCCTGGGCATGCTGGTCTTCCAGGTTATATTTCTTTGGAGCAGTTGCAGGACTGTGGGTGAATGTCCCTGATCCCAGGATGGCTGGTAGGGAAAAGAGTCTTCATAGCCATTGACATAAGATGACCAAGCAAACTAGGGGACACAGGCATCAGCAAGGCTTTCTAACAGGGAGTTCTAGTCTCTGGAACCTTCTGTACACAGCACAGCAGAACTGGTAGAGATGAAGTGAGTGTGTATAACTCTATGAATTTTTTCCGTAAGCAAAAGAGAAATGATAGCTCATCCTGTCATTTTTTTTATTATCCACGATTCTTTGTCCCTGTTACTGTGAATATTTAAGAAGTTGAAGAGAAATCCTCCTTTGTGTTAATTACACCTTTTCTTCTCACTGAAGTGTGATATGTCCCCTCAATGAATTATATAAAGAAAATCGGGGTGGAAGCGGATCAGGGAAAAAAATTCTATACCAAGCAAACTGATGAATTGCCCACATTATTTGGTGAGTGGATCCCCCTCCCCCCGAATCAGACACTGATCATAATGGTCAAAACAATCCTTAGGACTTTCTCTTAACTCGCTCATTATCATTCAATATGTTCAAAAGAATTATTAAATGCCGAATAATATGGTGCACCTGGTTGAGATGATGGTGAGAGATTTGGCTTCCTGTCACTTCGTTAAGGATGAATTCCACCCGAGGGCGTACTGTGAACTTGGCAAATAGCATTATAATAGTAAGAGAATATTGCCTATTGGGTATCAGGAGTTGATGATTAAATTTAAGTGTGTACTGTCCGCATAAAACAAATAATGCTCTTTTTTTTAAAGTTTTACTGTGAACATTCATCACCAGTGCTGAAGATGCACAGTTGCTAATTATTGTGTTTTTAACTTGTAATATACTGTAAATTTTGTATAATACTGCTATGACCTTATACAGAATAGGAAAGATGACAGGAGGCCTATAATTATTGTATGGGGAAGAAATGCCTATAATTATCTACTATTTTTAGGACCAGCGTGCATGGCCTCTTAATTTACATAAGCTTTAGACATTCACACATTTTCTGTCTTTGCCTGTGGATGATAAATTTTTCTCAAATGAAATCAAGAAGATATACTGTTATATGAGAGTTAGCCAGCTGGGGGCTTGATTACAGTGAACAAGCTTGTGTGCCAGCTTAAAAAAAAAATAAGTGGGGGAGCATTTATCTGGATGGGATTTGTTTAAGGCAGGATTCAAAACACACACACACACACAAAAAAAGAAAAGGAAAAGGAAAAAAAACCCCACCATATTACTATATTGGGGCCTGATAAGGTGTGATTATTTTTTAGAGAATGTTAAAGTTAAATTATCTTGTGGAAAGGCATTAACCTAACAAAGAGAAAATCTCTAGGATATTTATCACATGGAGGGTGATTATGACAGCATGTTCTTATTAGAGATGAATATTTGGTGCTGATTAAGGAGGGCTCCAGGCTGCCAGGCGTGCTACCGAGAAGGACTGCGCTTGTCCTGTGAGCTCCTGTGGCTAGCTAGGAGTGTCATCCCAAGCTGAGGGGACTCTCTTATAGACCCAGCCCTGGCAGGTCCCATATCCAAGCCGCTGGGCAAGTGGTTGGGACTGGGAGGTTCTCAAGTCAGACACTATGAGAGATATATTACAGGCTCTGTTGGCCCTCTGTTCTGCCTCACAGTGGGAAAGGACATGAGTGGACTTGGCCCCTGAGGCTCTTACTGAGGGGTCCCACTTCAGGAAACCTGCTAAATTTCAAACTTAAGTTCCCCACTTTATGATGGGATTTTGCAGTAAAAGGATTAAAAATGGCTACCGCAAAAATAGCCTGTTTCCCTAAAGCATGTACTACGAAAGGTATTAGGTGGGTTTTTATGGTTGCGTGCATTTTAGAAAATGATTATTACTTTTGTTATCCTAGAGATTTCAAACATACTGTTGCGATGTATTTTTTTACAATTTGTTTTATTTTTTGACTGGGAGAGTATATGTATACGAACGCTGGTGCCCATGGAGACTAGATGCATTGGATTCCCCTGGAGCTAGAGTTACAGTAGGGTGTGAGCTGTCTTGTGTGGGTTCTAGGAACTGAGTCCGGGCCCTTTCAACTGCTTGTCCATCTCTCCTACAATTATAATTCAATGGCTTGCATTTTTAAGAATGTCATCTGAGGCATAGTTTCTTCCAAGTCTTTCCCTCAACTGCCTATTTTAAGATATAAAATATGCTTGATAGGAATATAAATAGCCATAAGCAGGAACTTCTAAGTGGCAGATGTTTAGATGCACATTATGCCCAAGGTCTCTCTCTCTATATGTACCTTCCATTTTGTTTGTTTGGATGAGGACTCAAAGCTGCCTGAGCTACTGAACCGGGCTGTCTGTCTCTGCTCCTCTGGTGACTCCTTTTCATTTGCGTGCCCATTGTTTGCTGTGGAGACCCCGCCTGTTGGTCCGTGTGCGCTGTGAGTCTTTCCACTCTCAATATTACTATTGTGCTCTTACGGTTAAGTTCTTACTTAGGTCAACACTAGTGTTTTACCCGGAACTGCAGAATGATGACAATCTGTGGTCTCCTTCCCGTGTCTCCGCTAGGTCGCCTGACAGACCTCATCAGCTCTGTTACCAAAGGTCTGAGGAACTCGACCGAAACTCCACCGGCAAGCTCTTCCTTTGCAGCAGCCTGTTTTTGGATTTTTCACAACCACAGGGAGCTCTGCGGGTTTTCACTGATATGCCGGAGTCTGGATGTCTGCTTATTGACTAGGTCCCCTATACACACGTTCAGACGACCATGCAGGAATCCTAACTCCCTTCAAATTTCACTTACCATCAACTGCGCCATCATTCTTCTAACCTAGATAGAGTTGGCTCCTTCCAACCTTGTCCCTATTAAACCATCTTTCTGGCGCCAATTTTTTCTTCTTCTTTAAATACATACTCACCAACACACACACACACACACACACACACACACACATACACCACACACCACAGTGCTTGACACATAATAAAACCATAAATCTGCATGTCTGAAGGAATGAGTAACGGAATGTTGAAAGCTTGGGGGCAGAGCTGCCCTGTCAAGGTGACATGGCCACTGCGGTCAGGTAGATATGGGTCTAGAACTCAGCTGCTCATTAATCTGTGCTCAAACCCATGAGTGACCTTGATTTCCTGTCTACAGCACAGTTCTTACTCACCCCAGCCTCATGTAGTGATTGTCAAAATTTAGCAATCTAGTGTGTGTATGTGTGGGAGGGGGTGTTGCTGCTGGAGTTACAGGCAAGGACTGAACAGAGAAACACGTTGCCGCTCATCAGGGATCCGTTCTTTACCCGCTCTGGGCAGGCTATGAGAGAATAAGTACAGTTGCTTCTCAAAGTTACTATAGGGCTTAACAGTCATTAAGTAAATCTTGAGTGTGAGTGTGTGAGTGTGTATCTGTGTGTGTAAGTGTGTGTGAGTGTGTATCTGTGTGTGTGAGTGTGTATCTGTGTGTGTAAGTGTGTGTGAGTGTGTATCTGTGTGTGTAAGTGTGTGTGAGTGTGTATCTGTGTGTGTGTGTGTGATGAATCATATATATGAGTGCAGGGACCAGAGGCTGATCTCGGGTGTCACTCCACAGGAGCCACCCACCTTTCTCTTTTTGTTTTGTTTTGTTTGAGACAAGGTCTCTCACTGAAACTTGGACTGAGCCAAGGCAGACGGACCAGCGAGCCCATGGACCCTCCTGTCTCCACATCCCCATCACCGGGATTATGAGAGCACACTACCAGATGACTCTTTAAATGTTGATTCTTGGGACAAAACCCAAGCCTTCATGCTTACAAGGCTGACTGAACTCTCTCCCCATCCCTATAGGAAAGCTTGAATAAAAGGTGGCACTATTTCTATGTGAACTTGTTTTGGCATATTAGGATATTAGAAATGGTATACAAATTCATCACGACGGAGAGCAATGTCTTCCACAAGGTTTTTGATACTTCTAGTCATGGGGACTTTTTCCTTTCACGGAGCTTTAGGAGCGACTAAAGAGGCAGGTCCTTCGTGCTCACCGGCTGAGGACCACCACTGTCAGAACAGCCAGTGTAGTTTGCCTCCATGCTCAAGCCCTCACTCGGCCCTGGTTGGGTCCTGGCTAGAAGGAAAGCCTAGAATGAGTGATGTCGCCAGCAGTGGGGACACTACCCCCACCTTGGAGCCAGGAGGTAGCTGGGAAGCATCTGCAGCTGGATTCCTAGCAGCAGAGATACTTAATACCTTCCTAGGGTCCAGGAACCAAGTGTCAGGTCAGGGTTGATGGACATGACTTGGAGACAGAAGAAAGTGGGCAGCCGTCTCCAGAGGCAGACAGAGTTGCTTGTTCAGCCAGAGAAACTGAAAAGGCTGCAGTGTCTCTGCAGAACTAGTGGAGTCAGCACAGGTGGTACGGGGTGTTGGAACTCCGCCCTTATGCTGACCCCGCCCCCTTGACGACGGGCGGGGCACACAGTGATGCCCCTACGTCATCACTGCGTCTGTCACTCATCACGGGACTCAGTGTGCATGTGTGGACCCCCCTTTTTTTTTAGTTCCAACGCCATCTTCCCCCCTCCTCTCTCTCTCTCTCCTCTCTCCTCCTCTCTCCTCTCTCTCTCTCTCTCTCTCTCTCTCTCTCTCTCCTCTCTCTCCCTCTCTCTCTCTCTCTCTCTCTCTCTCTCTCTCTCTCTCTCTCTCTCTCTCTCTCTCTCTCTCTCTCTCTCTCTCTCTCTCTCTCTCTCTCTCTCTCTCTCTCTCTCTCTCTCTCTCTCTCTCTCTCTCTCTCTCTCTCTCTCTCTCTCTCTCTCTCTCTCTCTCTCTCTCTCTCTCTCTCTCTCTCTCTCTCTCTCTCTCTCTCTCTCTCTCTCTCTCTCTCCTTTCTCTCTCTCTCTCTCTCTCTCTCTCTCTCTCTCTCTCTCTCTCTCTCTCTCTCTCTCTCCTCTCTCTCTCTCTCTCTCTCTCTCTCTCTCTCTCTCTCTCTCTCTCTCTCTCTCTCTCTCTCTCTCTCTCTCTCTCTCTCTCTCTCTCTCTCTCTCTCTCTCTCTCTCTCTCTCTCTCTCTCTCTCTCTCTCTCTCTCTCTCTCTCTCTCTCTCTCTCTCTCTCTCTCTCTCTCTCTCTCTCTCTCTCTCTCTCTCTCTCTCTCTCTCTCTCTCTCTCTCTCTCTCTCTCTCTCTCTCTCTCTCTCTCTCTCTCTCTCTCTCTCTCTCTCTCTCTCTCTCTCTCTCTCTCTCTCTCTCTCTCTCTCTCTCTCTCTCTCTCTCTCTCTCTCTCTCTCTCTCCTCTCTCTCTCTCTCTCTCTCTCTCTCTCTCTCTCTCTCTCTCTCTCTCTCTCTCTCTCTCTCTCTCTCTCTCTCTCTCTCTCTCTCTCTCTCTCTCTCTCTCTCTCTCTCTCTCTCTCTCTCTCTCTCTCTCTCTCTCTCTCTCTCTCTCTCTCTCTCTCTCTCTCTCTCTCTCTCTCTCTCTCTCTCTCTCTCTCTCTCTCTCTCTCTCTCTCTCTCTCTCTCTGCTCCGGTTGGTCTCTTCTCACCTCCCAATAAACTCCACGTGGGACTGTTGGCTCGAGGATCGTGTTTCATTGCCGGTAACTTAAATTAACAACACGGGGCGCTTGGGGTTTTACAGGACAGAAAGGCGCACGCATCGGGGAAGTTAGAGTCGATCTGCAGGTCAGTTCCCGCTGTCTGCGAGTGGCAGACACTGGTGGGCTTGGTGTATGGGTCTCCTGATCCGAAGCATAGGTGTGATCAGCCAGTCAGCTTTCCCATCGGGAGCGTCTTGGTCACCTGAGGGGTTTAGGGCACTAATCTGTCACCCTCTCTTTAGATCCGGTTTTGCCATAAAAGGGAGAAAGACTTTTTTCAGTTGAGTAGCCAAGAAAATACCCAGAGTGCTCCGCCCATAAGACAGAAGCCAGTTGCTAGAGAATGAACACCACAGGAAGAGTGAGTCTTCTTTAACTTGGTTGTCTGCTGCAACTTGACAGACCTTTCCTCAGCAGACCTGACCTGGTGTGGAACAATGGGCATATCATGAAAACAGTGACTTCAGAGCAGGGCAATGGTGTATGAGTCTTCAGACAGGCTGGAAGTCCATGCTTGAAGGTCACCTGAAATATGATCTGTGGCCAGAAAGTTGGAGAGCAGGTAGGCGTGTGTGTGTGTGTGTGTGTGTGTGTGTGTGTGTGTTGGGGGTTGGGCTGTGCAAATAAATAAACGGAGGAACTCAGGGGAACTAGTCCTTCAGGAGAAGTATCAGAATAAGAGGCCTTGATCCAGTTGCCCCTTAAAGCTAAGCACACCAGCTCGGGGTCAGTTTGGAAGGAGTCTAAGCTACAAAGTCCACAGTGCAAGTCAAGCTACTCTAAGAAAGAACAATAAACTCTTTTGTCAGGGTTTGACAGCGGTGGGGAATTTTGACTTCCACAGAGCTTGAAATGTGCTTGTTTTCTCACCAAAGCTGAGACCCATTTGCACAACAAGCAAAAAGACAAGGTAAACAACGTCTTTGGCGACTTTCCAAGGTCGTCTTTGCCTGGATGGCATCCCAAGAACCCCATGACACCTCCTCACCCAGGAGTGAACTCAAACACTGGGGATTCTTTCAATATTCAAAAAGGGTCACCGCTTTGAAACGTGGTGACTTCCCTAGAACAGCGTTCTCATTTAAATTACATGGATATCAGAGGAGTCCAGGCCAGGAGGTGAAGCAGAGCAAACTCACATTCTGTGACTACAAAAGCAAATGCATATTTTTGATGAGCCTGCACTGGCTGCCTTGGCAGCCATAGAATGCTGTTTTCTTCCCCTTTGCCTACAAGGAATGTCATAAGTAGGCATAAACAAATGCCTTCGTTATTTATTCCAGTCTCGCTGCACTAAATCATCGTACATTGGGAGTTTGCTGTTTTGTTGGGTTGGCAATTGCTCATGCTAATGGATCCCCTGGTTTGCATCCTGTGATTGCTGTCGGGCAAGATAGCACCCGCCAGACTCGGAGCCGTGTAAAAACTAGACACAAGAGATGAGGGGTGGTGAGCTGTCACCCTGACCTTTGACACCTTGCAGCCCACGTTCTGTGGTGATTAAGAAACTCCTCCTCCGTGGTTACCGCAAAGTGAGCTGCAGTGTTCGCTCACTCCCAGGTGATGAATCTTCTCTCCCAGGAGAGTGGGAAGTCCTCTCTGCATTTTCATTAGAGTGACCATGCCCCTGTAGAAGAAATGGCAAGCAACAGCAGGTTTTCAAAATGAAAACTCTGGCTCACATGACAATTAAATAACTTTTAGTGCTGTGCTGGGCAAAGTCGCTGGACACACCATCTCCTCATCCCTTACATGAGATTCCCAGGGGATAGGTTAGAAACCCCCCAAAGTCACAGACATCAAGTCATCTATCTCTGAGCCGCTGATGCCTTTGGGCATCTGTTACTGAAGAGCTGTCCCTTCGCTTCCTAGCCCACGTCACTCCAAGCCACACCCGCAGTGCCAAGTGACTCAACTCAGCCCCTTTCTCCAACACAGTGCCTGTAGCTTTTCCTACACAGCCTGGGCACACCATGCAGAGAGTTCTACAGGCCATTGCCTCCGGCCAGGCAACTACACAATGAGGTGTGTACTTTCCAATGGCAACTTCTAGGTACCTTGCCAGTCATCATGTACCAGAAGATCCCCCGGGGCCGGTATGGGAGACCAATTGCACTCAAGGCCCCAACTATTTGTTCCTTTGTCTTCTGGCTTCTGCTGCTGCAATGAAGCACTTTGACCAAGGCAACTTGGGGGAGGAAAGGGTGTAGGGAAAAGGGGCCAGTCAAAGAAACACACCCTGAGCAGAGCCAAAAAAACACACTTTGGCCCTGCAACCAGAACCAAACAAATGTACCCTGACCTTGAAACCAGTGCCAAAGGAACACACTTGTCCCTGGAATCTGAGTCAGTGAAAGAAATGCACCCTGGCCCTAAAATTGGAGCCAAAAGGCTAAAAAGGACCAGAGAAAGAAACACACTTTGGCCCTGAAACCAGAGCCAAATCTGACCTAAATCCTGTGCAGAAAAGTAACAAATCCTTGAGCAGAGCTCTATCCAATCTGAGCTCAGCACTGAAATCGGACCAATCCCTACTCTGGAAAAACTTCCCTGCCCCCAAGAATCCCTATATAAACCCTGTGTATGTTCAGCTTGGCTGGTCCAGCTGCTTCCTTCCAATAAACCACTTGGATAAGCTCTGGGTGAAGATCTTCTTTTGTGGCAGCAACAGAGCAGAGGCGACCCTGGGCAGAGCAGAGCAGAGCGAGCAGGGCTGTAACAATTTTGCCTGGGAAACCTTCCCTTGGCAGAGAGGAGTTGTTACACTCCCCTCTCTGGGATCTCTCGGAACAGAGCTGAACTGTAGCAACTTCACCCGAGAAACCTGCAGAGCAAAACTGCTACACTGGGCGAACATCCTCAGCTGGAAGACCCTGCCCTGCCTGAGCGGAGCCAATACACTGGGGAAGCCTTTCCCTGAGGCTGGGCTGTAAGCTGCTAAGCTTACTGCAACCTGTGGTGGTCCTTGGCTCCCAAGCTCCAGGATACCTTTCCACCTGAGCTGTGTAACACTCAGTATTCTGTGGCTCCCGAGTGCCAGAATACCTGACCCACTCCTGTTCCATCCTGTCCCGATCCAACCAGAAACCCTTACAAAGGGTCTGCTTGCCTAACAGTTATACGTCATTGTTCGTCGTTGAATGAGGTAAGGACAGGGACTCAAAGGGCAGCAGGAACCTGGAGTCTGGAGCTGATGCGGGGTCCATGGAAGGGTGCAGCTTAGTGGCTGCTTTCTTACAGAACCCAGGGCCACCTGCCCAAGAATGGCACCGCCCACCATGGCCTGGGCCCCTCCCATATCAATCACGAGCTAAGAAAATGCCGCACAGCCCTGCCCCGGCCTGATCGTGCTGTGTCTGTCTCGATGGAGGCCTCCCTCCTCTCTAGCAATCCCAGCTTATGTCAAGCTGATGTAAAACTAGCCACACACCCCTCTTGGTGCCCATGTCCAGTGCCGTGTAACTGTAGCTCATCAGGAGGAGGAATCCACTTCCGGTCCTTCTAGTCTGAACCCAGCCGTGTGTTTTGATTGGAGCAAGGAGATTATGGCATCAGCCATCCAAACAGAACCTTAAAGAGTCACCCTTCACGTTTCTGTTTGTGCTTTTGTCCCCCTCCCATGGAAAGCGTCTCCAGACATAGCTGTTGGAGGACAGAAGGAGGCCCGTTGGTCGCATCTGGGTCACTCCATTTGTCCCATGCTTGGTCACCTGTGATCGGTTTCTGACCAACCAACCAGTCTCCAGACGCTGTGACAACAAGCCAGGAGCTGCCCACATAGAATCTAGGCTCCAGATTTCTTTTCTTTTTTTTTTTCTCTTTGTTTTTTGTTTTTACGAGACAGGGTTTCCCTGTATTGTTTTGGAGGCTGTCGGTCCAGCCCAGCCTCGAACTCGCAGAGATCCGCCTGCCTCTGCCTCCCGAGTGCTGGGATTAAAGCCATGCACCACCACCGCCCGGCCTAGGCTCCAGATTTCTAACGAGGTCATCTTCCTGCTAAGACCCAACCCACAGCCCAGTTCATCAGCCTGCTTGTATCAGAATTCCCCAGAGACACATAATTGATAGAGTAGTTACAGACTGTTCTAGTTCAGTTTGTTGTTGCTGCTGTGATAAAAACCACCATAATCATTAGCAACCTCCTGAGGGAATGGTCCATTATTATCTTACAGGTTTACAGTCGATCATCGAGGGAAGGCAGGAACTCAAGGCGGGAACTGAGGCAGAGGCCATGAAGGCACTCTGCTTCTATGGCTTGCAGTCCATGAGTCATTCAGCCTGCTCTTTAATACAGCTCAGGGCCACCTGCCTCTAGGTGGCGCCACACCAAGGGAGCTGGGTCTTCTCACAGCCGTCATTAACCAAGAAAACCATCCCACACACTTGCCTGCAGGCCAGTCTGATGGAGGAGTGTTCTCTGTTGAGTTCCACCTTTCCAGATGACACTAGCTTATGTCCAACTGACCAGTGAAGATTTATCATGGGAAGTGACTCACACAATTAGGGGCCAAGGAGTTCTATGCTGGACTATCTATAAGCTGCGGAGTCTGGGACCTGGCGTGACGCGGCTCAAATACAAAAGCCTGGAAAAGGGAGGCCAGTGGCGCAATTCTTAATGCAAAACCAATACCTAGGGGTCTAGGAGGCTACTGATTGTCCTGACTCCAGGGACGGAGGAACGTGGAATTCTCATAACCAAGGGCATCTTGCCCTAGGACAAAGACGAAGATTATCTCCCTGTCTCCCAGAAGTTGTTTTGTCTGACACCCACTAGAAGATCTGCACTGAGAATGGATTTTCCACACGCTGTCTACTGGCTCATGCCAGCCTTATCTGGAATCGACTTAACAGACATGTCAAGAAACAGGCTTCGCGGTCACACCTGCATCTCTATCAGTTTACGTTTCTGTGGCTGTGATTAAGCACTACAACCAAGGCAACTCTCAGAAGGAAGCAGTTCCCGAGGGTGGGCTTCTGTCGTGGCAGGGAAGCATGGCAGCAAGAGGCAGGCCATGAGGGCTCAAACAGATGCTAAGGGCTTACGTCTTGAATGGCCAGCAGGAGGACGGGAGAGAGAACTGGGAACGCAGTGTGGCTTTTGGAACCTCAGAGCCGGCTTCTCCAGCAAGGCTACACATCTTAAACCGAGCCAAGCGGCAGCACCAGCTGGGGGCCATGCATTCCAACATCTGAGCCTAGGGGGACGCTGGCACTCCAACCACCGCAGCATCCTTCAGGTCAGTCAAGCTGATGCATAAGATGACCCACACGCCACCCACTTTTCAGCAACCCTCTCTTTGCCACCTAAAAGAGAGAATATGGTTTCATACCTGGCAAGCAAAAAAGCTTACAAGTAGCCAGTCCGTCTTAGCAATAAACAACAACAACAATACTGAACAAACTCAGAGAAGAAAACAAAAAACCTGGAACTTTCCTCAATGTATTCACAGGCCAAACATAACCCCCAAAGTTAGAGAAACAACAGGTAGGTCTGGAGAATCAACGACTACCAAAGCAGGGACTTCCGCAGGCGTCAGTGATGGGGTACCACAAGTGACAAGGTATGACTGACAGACACTGGAGTTCAGCACAGATGAGTCTGGGTGAGCTAACAGCTCTAGGAGGCACCCTGCCCTCCGGTGAGTTCTACCGCCCAGAGTGAAGTCTGCGGCAACACTCTTCACGCTTCTGTCATGGGGAGGAAGAAAACTAGCCATCCTAAAAACTCATCCTTAACAAAATACATCTTCAGGATAAATCTATTTTACCTGTTAAATAGCTTAACCCCCTGGACTCTGACTGCAAACAGCACACAGTTAGGAACCAGGTCTCTTCACGTCCGTGGGAGGAAACAAAAGTGCAAAATCACTACAAAGACCAGGCAGGAAATAAATCTAACTCTGTCCCCTTCTAGAAACCATGCCCCACATAATGCAGGGAGAAAAACTGGGGGGCCCCTGTGAAGTCTGTAGTTTAGGGTCACAAGCCCATGTAAAGGCTGAGACCTAATCAGGAGGGGATGGACACACACACACACACACACACACACACACACAATGTTGTCCTTCCTCGGACTTCTTCCCTCCACATCACAAAAGATCCAGTTTGCTCTAGTTCCCCTCACCCAGTAGACCATGTCTGGATTCCAACAAAAGAATACAAACTGTGCTAGAAAGGAAAAACAAACAATGAAACCCACCACATAGTCTGAGGAAACAACCAGATTCAGGTATGGCAGGATTGTTGAAACTATTAGATGATGACCTTAAATATACTATGCTAAGTGATATAAAGAGGGGGGATCACACACTATTGAAGAACAGATAGATAAGCATAGAGATGGAAAAAATCTAAGAAGGATGAAAAATGCTAAAGATTAAACACACCGTGATAGAGATTAAGAATACACACCACTGGGCTGTGGCACATACCTTTAATCCAAGCACTCTGGACGCAGAGGCAAGTGGATCTCTGAGTTCAAGGCCAGCCTGGTCTGCAAAGGGAGTTTCAAGACATTTGTGACTGTTACACCGAGAAACCCTGCCTTGAAAAACAGCAACACTAAAAAGAAAAAGAAATTAAGAATGCCCTTGATAGTATTATTAGTAAACTGGACCAGGGCATCTTAATTTATACTTAAACTCTTTATCCTCTTTGCCTGGGAAATATTTATACAATGCTGGATGTATAAGAAATACAAAATAAATAAAACATTTACTGGTAATAAATCATGAGTTTATTTTAAAACAATTTTGTTATATATTATAACTTCACAATTTTCGAAGACTAAAACAGATTTACGCAATAATGAGGTAGAAGTACTTGTCTGGCTAACCCAACCCAGTCCAGTGGTGCGGTAATTTGATAGTTACATGCTAAGCAATGACAGGTGGAAAATGTCAAAGTTGTTGTTTTCTGCAATTGAACTATTATATTTCTTTAAGAGCAGAAAACTTTATATGTTTACATGGGTCAAGTATGAGCCGGGGTGTTTCAGGCAGTGTTTGCTGGCACTGTGCGGTGAGGTCACCACTGCACTGTGTGGTCGCTGGGTAGTGTGGTCACTGCATGGTGTAGTTAGTGTATGGTGTGGTCAATGCACTGTGTGGTCACTGGGTGGTGTGGTCACTGCACTGTGTGGTCACTAGGTGATGTGGTCACTGCATTGACTGCATGGTGTGGTCACTGCTTGGTGTGGTCACTGGGTGATGTGGTCACTGCATGGTGTGGTGGCATGTACTGGACAACATGTGTTGGGCACAGAGCCAAGGCTGCAGTGAAACCCTGTGAAACAACATGGATGACCATAGCCAAAACACCCCCAGATTCATTACTCATTTGATTTTTAAATTCACTTTGGTCATTGAATGTCTTATTGTTGCAAAATTATGCAAGTCCCAGGTTTGGTTGTGCAACCCGGTACTGGGGCACAGTCAACAGCTAGAGAAGGATGGACAGGGCATGGGTTGAGGAAATAAGTCTGAACTTTTTTTTTGAGATATAATGTTAATGCAACAAAACCCATCACTTTTCTCTAAGAAACAGGGCTGATTTTGAAGCTCAAAGCCCAATACCTATTACGTCCTCTGAAAATGAAATGCTTAGGTGTAAACAAAACAAAACATATATAAGTTCTACCTGAGGAAAATGACAAACAGATGAAAGAAGCTAACAAGAACTAAAGAAATGGACAAAGCCTCATATCATGAATAGGAAAAATAGTGTTAAAACGCCGTTTCTTCCTGATACTGTCAATTTGGTCAAAGTTCTAGAGATTTATTTTGTGTAATTGTCAACAGAGTCTACAGTTTTATGGAAAGCAAAGGACCCAGAAAATTCAGGACAAGGTTGCAGGAGAAGAACAAACTTGTAAGACTGAGTCTACTTGAAATCACCACTTTAGAGCTTCAATGTGGCGTTATCTTAAGAAAGAAAAAAAGGAGCAACGAGACAGAACACAGAGCCTGGAAGCAAACTGCAGAGATAGGTACAGTCAGCTGACCCCTAACTGTTGCAGGATAAAGACAACACTATGAAGGAAGCATGGCCTTTTAGCAAACAACTAGAAACCAACATTTAACATGGAAAACAGAGAATCTGGACACAAGTCTCATTCCCTTATCAAAAATGAACTCACAGACATAAATATGAAACAGTAACTCACCAAGAAAGGTGTAATCCCATCACTTTAGAGTCTGAGGCAGGAAGAGCATGAGTTTGAGGCTAGCCCTGGGCTACATAGTGTCAAGCCAGTCTGACTTATGTAGCAAGACTGTCCCAGAAATAATCCCAGAAATAATGACTGGGAATGTAGCTCAGCAGTCGTGTGCTAGCCTGCTGTGTGGGTGGCCTTGGGCTCCATCCGAAGTCCTGGAAGACAAAGTAGCAGGACAATCATTTGAAATGCTAATGTTCCTAGAATGTTCTTGTGTGGTTGTGCTGTAACCTACTTGTTTCTGTTAGCATCAGCTACGAATTTAAACAGCAAGACACCACTGTCAATCTATTAGAATGGCCAGATCTGAATCACCGACAGCACTAAAAGTTTCCAGGCACATGGAATAACAGCCTCTGTCATTTGTTGCAGATGAGGAAGCAAAAACGCCACGGCCACCTAGCAGATGGCTTAGTGACCACGTTTGCAAAACCAAACACACCATCGCTGTCCAGTCCAGCAATTGTGCTCACTCCATTTTCCAAAAGGAGATAAAAAGTTATGTTCAGACACAGTTTTGCATGCGGCTGTTTATAGTGATAGCAATTCCATAACTGCTGAAACCTGGAAGTCGTCTTTGAGTAGATGAATGGCGAAGTGTGTAGCCGTGCATCCAGACAATAAAATATTACTCACTGTTGAAGAGGAGATCAAACCGCGAAATGACGTGGGGAAACTTAACACAAGCAACTCAAGGAAAGCCTGTGTGAAAAGTCTACACTGTGACGGCAACCAAACGATGTTCTGGAAAAGGCGAGGCTATGGGAGTGGTGGACCAGTTAATGGGTGTCCCAGGTGGGAACACTAGGAAAGCAGGAGGGGGTTTAGGATTATGAAACGCTGCTTGTACTCGATACCAGAATGGTGGGTCCATGGTCCATAGTCCAGTCGTTTTGCCTCTGTGAAAACTCGCAATGTCTGAATCCCATTGTGAAGCCTGATTTACTTTAGGTGGTAACAATGTATCATTATGATGTCTCATTGCAAGTTCAATTGTCACAAGACATGTTCACTCTGCAAGGAGCATTAGAGAATTCTCTGTGCTTTCTTCTTAATCTTTCTGCGATCTTAGGATGACTCTAAAAATAAGTCTACTTTGAAAGAAGAATATTAAACTAAGTGGCTAACAACAGAAGTAAAGTTAGAGATTCGCATCCCTTCAGGACAGCGACCAGAAACCTTTCTTCCTCAGCGTCTGTTGCTCCTTCCCTGGCCAGAGCAGCCTGCTAAGGGCCACGATTATTTCTCCTCTCTTCTCATGTCTTCCCGGCTTCAATACCCTTTCTTCTTTGTTCAACCACACCATACACATTTTAACAACTAAAAAATTGTTTTCTGCCTGTTGTGGTGGCACACACCTTTAATCCCAGCACTCAGGAGGCAGAGACAGGGGGATCCCTGAATTTTGAAGCCAGCCTGGTCTACAGAGAGAGTGTTCCAGGACACCTAGGAGTACATAAAGAAACCCTGTTTTGAAGAACTGAAAATTAAAATAAAATGAAATAATTCCTTTACACGTATACATTACAACACACATGTGGATATCCGAGGACAACATTTGGGAGTCCATTTTCTGCCTCCACCATTATGGGTACCAAGGACAGATCTCAGGTCACAAGGCTTGGTGACAAGCGCCCTTACCAGCCGAGCCAACTCATCAGCCCCGTTTTAACAATTTGATAGTGGCTCTGCCTCCTCTGGAAGACCTTTTTCTCACTCTCTCTGTCTCTGGCCTCTGAACTCCTCTGCAACTGTGGCAACCACGTGGCAATTAGCCCTGGCGTCTGTGCAGATCCATCCAGAGCAAGGACCTCGCCTCATGATTTGTGCGGTACTCCTCAGATTTACCAATGTTTAATTAAGTGGAGACACCACCCTATACTGAAACTTCAGAGCAGTAAGTGGCTGCCAGGTTTGCACATGGAAATAGGCATCGCGAAACCCCGCGTTGATAGCCATTGGTGGAAACTCAAAAGCGGCATTCGCAGCTACCTTCTAATTTCCGAGGTGATGGGCCCTGGGAGGTATCGTTCCTGTTGATGATGAAGGCTTGAGGCTCTCAGTCCTGCTGCGGGGTCACTGCGGTCTGGCAAACCCTATGTTGCTTATTACCGGGGCTCTCCCACCGCACTGTGCTCACTGTGGGGCATCGGAAGATGAGCCCATTTCCGAGACTGAGGGTCTGAGCAGGCTTCTTCCAGGCCAGGAAGTGTTCGGGCAAGCCGTGGCGCCTTTGCTCTGATCTGTAGTGCAGCCATTCTCTCCGGGTGCAGGCGAGATGGGGCAGCCTTCGAATCTGACAGCCGGATGAGAAAGGGTGTGTGAAAGCTGCAGACTCCAGGTCCCCTGTCCCAGCAGTCCTACCCAAGCTGGTTCTAACGGTTACACCTTTAGAGCAAGGGGACATCTGTCCTGACTGAGCCCCTTCTCCAGGGAAATCAGACTCCTTTCCAGTGTGGCCTAAGGATACACACATTTCAGGAGGTAGAGACGTCGTCTTGCTCAAACTAATATGAGCCATGATTTCAGTCTGGTCGTGGTGTGGTTTATAGCTCTGAGCATTCAAGTGTAACTTATGCTTTAATGTCTGTCCATCCACAACAGCAAAGCCTGTTTCTTTGTCACGAGTCCAGACAACTCCACAGGGTTTTGATAGCATGTGTGCCATGTGGGTTTGTGGTGCCTACGGAGGTAGCTACATGCACGGGGTTCTAATTGAATTATTCTAAAAACACAAATATTTTGCTGGGCTACAGAAACACACGTTAAATATCTGAGTCTACAAGCCGCTGACAAACAGCACCTTCCCTAACAAAAGAGAGCAGTTTAATAGCAGTGCTGGCGATATGTTTGTTAAGATCTTTAATTAGGGACAGGCTTTCCCAGCAGCCCCTGCAGGCAAAGGTGTAAATAGAGAAACTGTCCCAGCCTGCATGCTCCGTGGCGGTTGTGTTCCGAGGACAGATGGGATGGTGAGGAAACTGTGAACGGACACACGATAACAGAGCACCCTGTAATTCCAACATCGGCTCATTAGCAATCTGTCAGAGCTTTTTAATGCGGATGCCGGTGAAAATACAGAAACGGTGTGATTGTTTTGAAACCGTGTCCCTCTCTAGCTGAAAAGGCCAAGTGGACGGGCACAATGGCTATTAATAAAGCGACAATGTCTGGGGGGGAAAACATGGGTGTTTGGATGCTTTGCCTTCTTACTGGAAATGATAATTTCAAGCATTTTTGGACTATCACAGGAAGCTGAGATGACAATGGCTTCATGATGGGAGTCGTTAATAAATGAAGAGCCAAGCCAGCATGGTAGATATGTGGAGAACAGGAAGCCATTCTAGCCTGCAAACCTAGTATATACCAAGGACTTTTCTGTTCGAATGCAGCTCTTCACAGTGGCTATGCCAATCTTTGTTGTGCTGCTTTACGGAGCCTCTGGAGCCGTCTGCGCAAGGAGTATCGGCTGGATCCTCACTGTGGACTCTTGCGGGCTCCAGCGGCTATGCTGGGCTCGACACTGGTGAAGTTGTCTAAAAGTCTGAAGGGCACAAATAGACACAGCATCCTTGAAGTATATGCCCTTAAATTTCTTTTGAGGGGACAACTCCACTTCCATGGGGGGTGGAGGGTGTGTGTGTGTGTGTGTGGTGTGTGTGTGTGTGTGTGTGTGTGTGTACAGGTTATGAAGAGTTGAGCTAACGGTCTGTAAAGTGTAGGACCTCGTAATTTGCAATTTCAATGGTGTGCAAATGGTTGTGAAGACGGGGTTTTAAGTGAGCTCACCAGACCCAAGATAAATGATAAATAGGTGTTTATTAGGGAAGGACTTAAACAGATAAGAGTAAATAACCCTCTGCATGCCTTCATGCTCCAGAAGATGCAGTCTCCGCCCTCCCGCTGCTCTCCGGAGCCCCAGAGAGCAAGAGCCAGTCCCTCCTCTACCTTAATTAGTCACATCTGCCCCTGAAACCTACGCCCAAAGGGTGTGGCCACTGCTACAAGTTCGCTGGCAAGGCAAGATGCCACTACGTGGTTGGAGATTGGAGTGGTGATCGCATGGGGTAGAAGGGTGACCTATGGGATCTACCGCTCGGCACACATGCTGTTTGTGTTAGTGTGCTTGCTTAGTGGGAACTGGCAGGTGTACATTTACATTTGGGGCAGTTTTCTGTGCCTGTGTATCACACTTCAGTGATGTTTACCAAAAGAAAGAAACAATGTTTTCTTAAAAGAGTCCTTGCTCTTTCTTTAGTGGTTTTGGAGTCTGGAGACTGTAAGCAGGGCGGTCTGCGGACTTCGCTTGTGGGGTTAGTATGTGCACTGATGTGGGCATGTCCGGATCTTGGCTGCGGAGTGTCCCGCGCTACCATCTCGCCAGCAAGAACGACGCGGCACACTTAGGATCCTTCTGCAGAACAGCTTTAATGCGTCTTGAGAGGGAGAGCATAAGCTTACAGAGCGGAGACCCGGGGAGTGAAAAGCCCAACCCTTATATAGCTCAGCAGTCCCCGCCTCGGACGTGTCATCTCCTGACTGGCTCCTGCTCGTCAGCCCATATGACGCCACGGGAGAGGCAGAGAGTAAGGGATGGAAAAGTAGCAGGCACATGCGCACCAAGGCTGTTTACTCCAACCGACAACGGATGTCGGCGCCATCTTGTAATGGAGAATGTGGGGGGCGGCTCCCCACAGCTGAGAAACGCTTATATTCTTTTATTGTCACAGTTTTTTTTCTTTTCTTTTTTCTGAGATGGTCTCGTGCATCGTAGGCTGGTCTCGAACTCACTAGGTATGTGGGGATGACCTTAAACTTCTGATCTCCCCCTGCCTCCATCTCCCGGTTGCTAGGGTTACAGGTGTGCACGGCATGCTTGGTTTGTGTAGTAGCTGAGGCTCAAGCCCAGGGCTTCCTGCACAGTAGGCAAACACCCTACCGGCTGAGCCCTATGCCCAGCCTCACCGTCACTTCTCAAAGCCCTGGGAAACCGGGAGTAGAAACAGAATTCTCCTCAAATGGATAAGTCACGGAAGAGGATCTCGGAAACACAGCTTCCTCATCTGGTGCCCCATATTGGTAGCCTTCTGTGCACATGGCAGCGACGGACACCTCTCCTTCCCTCTGAGGAAGCAGCTTTTCCAAGCTGCGTGTGGAGTTCATGTATCTCCCCTTGCTTGGTGTCCGCTTCTCTCATGGCCGGGCTCTCTAGTGTAAAGGCCAAAGGACTTCTTGGAGAGGATTTAATGTCTCAATGGGCACCCAAAGGGCTGATTCTGAAGGCCCCCTGAGCAGACCTAGCTTGTTTAATATTAATCTGTGATCTTTGGAAACGTGTGTCTGTCCTTAGAACACTCACCTTCCTGCAGGAATCTATCTTCTGTTTTTAAACCAGAAGCAAAACAAGAAGCCGTAAATAAGGCGGCATGCTGGAATGCGTAGCTAGCCCTTGTCCGGAAGGAATGTGCAGAAAAGTCTGCAAGACACGTATCTCCCTAGCCGGGCGGTGGTGGCGCACGCCTTTAATCCCAGCACTCGGGAGGCAGAGGCAGGCGGATCTCTGTGAGTTCGAGGCTGGGCTGGACCGATAGCCTCCAAAACAATACAGAGAAACCCTCGAAAAACCAAAAAAAAAAAAAAAAAAAAAAAAAGACACGTATCTCCCAAAGCAGTGCATTTCCCAGGGCCAACAGTGTCGCCAGTGAGCCCAGCATGCGGGGTCTGGTCTTTTGTCTCCCTGACTAAACTAGGGTCTCTAGACGTAGGGCTTGTATCCTTTAAGATACTCTGGTGATCTTTTGTCACAATGAGGTTCAAGGTTCATTGACACATGTGACGCTATTATAATATTATTTTAAAAAGAGGAACAAAGGGTGGGCAGAGAAACCTAAATGTTCATCAGAAGATGAATTAAAACAGCAGCGACACGGAAATAATCTGTAGCTTTAATGCATGCCATAGATCTGCATTTATTGACATGGAAAAATATCCAC